ATATATAGCAAATTATTCAATGAAAGTTCAGTTGACTGAAATGGCGACCATTAAGTCGTCCACTACACACCAGTGACACCACAACAAATAAATTATATCTTAGATTAATTTTTTCAAACATGTCCACTAGAATACAAGTTTAAGCACTATTATCTCCACTTGAATGTTGGATTTAGTTAACGACAAATTTGCAAATCAAGACCTTTTTTCACCCGTTCAGTACACGGTTTTCTTACTTGCTTAGTATTAACGCCTGTTTTAAGTTAATTAAACAGCCAATAATCATAGGCACCCTTTGATACGTATAGGTTTACTAGTTAGCTACGTCTATTGTAAGTATGACTTAGAAATTGCCTTTCTCATGAATATCATGTGTCTTTCTATATATATTTTGCTGGAAGTTAAGATATAGTTTAAATTAAAATAAGACGGGTTACAGAAATTGCTTTTGAATTCAAAGTCTCCCGACAATCTCCTATACATGATCAATAGCCTTTGAATTTTGATAGAGAAATTGCGAGGCAATGTCCTATATATCAGTACTATTGTTGGAATTGCTTGATTTATTGGAATTGAAAGTAACTATTGTGCTTAGTAGTTGACTGCCATGGAATTATTCAGTTGACCCAGTATTGGAATACTGCTGTTATTGGAATTATAGTTATGTTTATGGAGATGTGTCAAGTGTTAAGAAAGATTATGAGAGTACACATTGAATTAAAATAATGAACAAAAATCTACTCTGTTAAATATAAAAGATGGGCTATCTATATTACCTAGAACAGAAGTATTAAAACGACAACACTTTTATTTAACAGTGTTATTATATGGGACTTCTATTTTGTTAAGTTTCCGATGTGGAACTCGTGTATTCTTCAACACTAATGACATATGAACTTGGATATTAATTGATTGCCTTCCAATCAGCTGACAGACAGTATACTTAATGTTAAGAAGTTTCACAGTGCTTTTGGATTACTCTGTTTTGGAACCATATCAATAAGACTTTGGCATTACAGAATGCAAATAATCAATTAAACACCAACAAATTTGTACATATCAATAAGTTACTTAACCCAATATCGAAATGAACTGCACGTAATATGTGTGTGTGTGTGTAATATAGATGAACTTGTAACCCTTGGTCAGCTCAGGCTCTTCAGTCTTCAAACCATTGTATAAGCTGCAACCCAGAAACCAGAATTACATTAGAAGCAATCAAAATTAGTATGCTAATTAATTAGAAGCTGAGATTGCAATGTGAATTATATCACTGACCTCCACACTTGTAACCCTTGACACGGTTTGGAATGTTGCAACGTTGGGGTATGGTGAGAGCAATTTCTGGGGTGGCTCCACTTTGCTGGGCATTTTGAGAAAGAGCAATGGCACAAAGACATCTCGGATTTCTGATCATATTTCTCAACTGCGCGCAGCACTTGATTGAAACCTTCACGTTCTTGTTCTTTGATGCAGCTATGCATGGATCCAGCTTCCAGCCTGCCCTCTCAGTTGTGATTTTGCCACATTCCCCTACCCCATAAGCACTTCAACCAAACGCAGCAATGGTTGTTAGAAGAAAGGCCTGAAAGCAGAAGCTCTTAATGGGACCCTTCATTTTTTGCAATGTGATAGTCAATGGCTTCCAATTTCCCAACTTGGTGTTGGTGGGTTTTTTTATACTCAAAGTGGCAGCTTGATCCAATGGAGCTTCTGTTTTTGGGTCAAAGATCAAATTGAAACTCATCCCACAAGACACGGCATGGATGCAGGTAGAAATTAGACTGAGGAGATCACATTATTCTCTTTGTTTATTGCAGGCTTTGGAGTGCAGCACCTACTCACTCCTTGAGCATTGCCTGGCCTCTCACTCAGGCCAACGAGAGGGAGGGTTAGTGAGTGTTCAATGACCACATTTTGTTACCTAGCTCCTTAACCTTAAGAGGGGTCGAGGAACTTTTTTATCAGCTTATAAATGAACGGATATTTAACTTTTATCATTTTCGAATTAACAACTTATATAGGGAGCTGATATTGACATTTTATATAGGGAGCCGATATCGACATTCCAAAAAAGTCATCAAGCATTCCTTATAATGAAATTTTTCCTTTTGTTTTTTGAGGTAATATATATGGCCTATGAACTGAGCCTCCCATCTTCGTTTGTTTTGAAATTAATGAACCTGCCATTTTCATTTTTAGTCATAGATGCATTTCTTTTATAGTCCAATGTTCCCTTTATCCGCCTTCCCATCTTTTCTTTCCTTTTGGTTACCAATATAGCTATGGTTGGCCGCAACAATGGCAACATGAAGTGAAATTTTTTGCAAAGACAGTTAAACAGAAACATTTTATTTAATATTCAGGTGTCTAGATCAGGATGTCATAGTAAAAAGCTAGATGAACTAGTTACAGAGATACAATCTCCAGCACTCCTTGACAGTCCTTGTAGCTGGCACCATAAGTGACTTCATGATCTTCAGGGTAATGTATATGCTGAAAAATAGAATAGCTAGTGTTAATAAACTGCAAATGAATATGGAAGAAGCATTCAGTAACAATTGGTTTGATAAACAAATTGTTAGGGATATGTCAACAAACCTCCACACTTGAAACCCACAGGACGATCCACAATGTTACATCGTTTCGGAATGGTAAGAGCTATTTCTGGTTTGATTCCTGCACTCTTAGCGGTATTAGAAAGCATCACAGCACAGAGGCAGCTTGGGTTCTGGCCTATCCTTTTTACCTGACTGCAGCACTTATCAGAAACTGCAGCATTTGCATCTTGTGCTGCTTCTAAACAAGGAGCCAGCTTCCAGGCCTCTTTGTCGGGGCTAGATTTTCCACACTCGCCAGCCCCGTAAGCCCCATCGAATTGATTGATGCCCAGAATCACAACAAACGCTAGAAGGCACATACACTTCATTGTAGATTCCATTTCTTCAATGCAGTGTAGAAACACTTCTCAACTTCCCGCTTTATATACTACACCAAGCAGCTCAAAAGGTACTTAGTTACCTACACAAATGAAACCCACAAGACATAGTGGAGGTAGCACTGGGAAGGAGGAATTCAATTTGTTTATTGCACTCCTTCAGAAATGGTTTAGGGCTACCTGGCAACTTTAAGCCAATAAAAATTACCGCCCCTAGCTTAAGTGCTTGCCACCATTCCTATACTTTTGTCATTTCTCCACAGCGGCATGCTACCTCAATCTAGTTTCTGTAGAGTCTAGGTTCAGTTCCCTCTTGTAACTAAGAAAATCTTGTTTCTCTAAACCCCTCATAATCTCCCACCCAAAACATGGCATTTAAGTATTAAACCACCCAACCACAAAGACCAGCTAAACAAAAAGCACCAAGCAGTTAATATTGCTCTATGATGCTCTATGATGATAGCCTGATGCATATAGCATCAGCAATCCATACAGAACAAAAAGAATAATTGCTACATGAACAATTTCATTAGAATATCAGCACTCTCTACCCACCTGTACTACCACTCATCCATAAATTTCATCTCACCAAATCTGTGAAGCATTAATTTGATTTCCCAATCCACCAAAGATTGTTTTTTTTCCTGGGTTCAATTATCACAAACCACTATCCCATTACCACTAGGAGAACAAAAACAAAAAAAACAAGCAAAGAAGCAAGCTTTTCCATTCTTTCAATTGAATTCAACTACTTCAATTTCAAGAAACACAAACCATGCATTAAAATTCTGCAAAATCAGAAGGAATTATACAAAAGCTCTAGCGCGTAAAAGCGTACAAAACGATACAAACATAGATGAGGAGCGCAACGGGGACGAAGATGACAAGCGGGATCACGGCGGCCAAAGTGTGGGAGCTCCCGCAACCCAAAGTCCCGAGCTTGATCTGCACCACGTTGATGAGTGCCAGCATCAGGAACACGCACCCGCAAACCGAACCCGCACCCGAGACGAGCATCCCGACCCGGAGGGCGGAGCTGTTGACCCGGGCGAGGAGCTCGGCCGGGTGGTAGGACGGGGTTCGGGTGATCCGGATGGCCTGCTTGAGGGCGACGGCGACGAGGCTGGAGAAGAGGAAGGAGCTGAAGGAGTACACGTGGAAGGCCACGAGGTCCTCCGCGACGCGGGGCCCGGCGCGGCAGGTGGTGGGGTCGTTTACCTCAATCAGGGTGTTGTTCGGGTCGTTGGGATCCCAGGTCAGGCCGATGAAGACGGCCAAGGTGAAAAGGGAGTTCACGTTCACGATACCGTCTAGGGCCACTATGTGGACGCTGGTGCCGCCGCGGGAGGGCATTTTGGGGATTTCGAAAAGTATCTCACTGACTAGCTGGAAAAGTCGCAAACTTGCGAAGTGTTTGTGCAGACAACAACAAGCGGCCGAGTCTGCTTTCTTTCTTATTATTTTTTTCTCTTTCGTCTAAAAACTGAAAAGAAAAGGAAGCTTCCGTTGGTGAAACGACGGAAAGTTGGACGTTTTATCAGTAACAGTGGACTTTACATGCACGTGTCACGACTTTAATGGGTTTTTAGTTTAACGGTGTTTAGCGAGAGGGTTAAAAAAAATTGCGCCGTTGCCGGGGATCGAACCCGGGTCACCCGCGTGACAGGCGGGAATACTTACCACTATACTACAACGACCTTGTTGATCTATTTTACCATATTGTTTTAAATAAATGCTAACCATATGGCTTCGAAACGCTCTGCTCAAATCTTTTATTTGAAAATTGCTTCCAAAAGTGATTTTTATTAGGGAGTTTCACTAAAACACCCAAAATGGAAGCTGAAATTATAAAAAAACCCAACACTTAAAACACTTTATAAATACACACAAAACTCATCAGTACACACACTCAAAACTCATTTATAAACACACCCAAAAAAATATACAATTGTTGACTTTGTGGTTGATTTTGGGTGTGTTTCTATGTTTAAATAGTGTTTGGGTTTTTTTATAAATACATGTCTAGGATTTGGTTTATTTATTAATTTGTATTTTTGTTATTGATGATAAACTTGTAAATTTTCTTTATATAAGACACTATATAGATTGAGTTCAAAAGTTTTAATCTTTGAAGGAGTTTCTTCTGTTTTTGTTTTGTTTTGACAATTTGTTCACTTTATTTAAACTGACTCTTCTTTTGGCACCTTGTTTGCTTAGAGTGCTAGTGGTTCCATTCTCCATTGAAGTCAATTTTGAAATTCTTTAGTATGAGCAGTATAAGTCATTAATTTGAACTAGCAATCTCATGTCTATATTCTTTCTGCAGAAGTTTCAACAAGCAATCTAATCTCTCTATTCTCTCTCTCCTTTTAGCTACAATATTCTAAATGCAAACAACATGCAAACCAGGAACTTTAACAAATAGATTAAACTCCCCTAACTCATAAGCGTCAATACTTAGTTACACCAAGAGGTTCTATAGTCCCCTAACTATAGCATTTCTTTCCACTTTTTTTCCTCCAGAACTTCAAGAGACGACTTGATGTGATTTTCTCCCATTTTGGTGTGATGAGTCCTTCTGACGATCCAAATTTTCTGTGCCTTGTAAGTTTGGTATTGAAACAGACCCTTCCATTGTGTTGCTGCAGATTCTTGCTTTTGTTTCAACGCCAAGATAATTTGTCAAGACTCTTCTCACTCCCAAGCCGCGACGGGGAGGCTTGTCCCTGTTGTTACTAGTGTGGAGAAAAGGAGTCCTTTCTCCCCTTGCAGGGCTAATTAAAGGTACAGGTGAAAAGTTAGCAGAAGCTCTTTTCTGAGGAGTGCTTGAGGGAGGCACCGAATACTGGACTGGAACCTTCTTGCGAGTAATTACACTGACTGTAGCCACTGATGACAATCTATCAGTCTGTTTAGCCAAGTCATCCACATATAGTAAATCATCGATGCGAGCCACAATGTTAAATGCCAGGCTCTCCAGAACTCTTGAATAGCTTTCAAGAATGGATTTCCCAACATCCTGAATAGTATGAAAACAAGTTCTATTGTTATAACAAACATGATGTAAGGAAAACAAGAGTGGAGGAAAGAGTTTTTTGAAAGAAGTAAAATTTAACCTTGTTGCACTGAATCTTGCTCGTATCCAAGATAGTTTGGGTAAGACAAGGAAACCGCTGCTTCAAGGAAAGCAGGAGGCTTTCAGCTCTTTCTGCCAGCAGTTCTCTCTTATCCACATCAATCACTAGGTCCTTGACCATCTCCCATGATGACTTTGTAGTGGAGCGGTTTGGATTAGGCGGAGGCTTTGAGTGAGCTCTTCGACGCCAGACAAATATTGAGGCTTCAACACGGTTTGCAATCTCGAGAGCAACATGTTCGCTGGACAGGTCAAGGCAATCAAGCAGAAACTCTGGGGAGAACTTATCTGATGTAATATACCGGTAAATTATGTCCCCAAGACAGGCCCTCCCATTCTGATTACAAATCATGAAGAGTTCAATGTAAGATAATCCTTTCATGCTCATCAATTCAAGGGTTCACACAACATCATGATCAATGTCTATCAACTATTATCTTAGAGTGGTGACAGGCAGCACATTTTAACTCCTAGATTCATATGTGTATGTCACCTCTATAGTTATTAAGCATAATCTTGTAAGATAAAGCAAGATTAAGAAATAAAGTTTTAGCAATTCAAATACACTATAACTGTGTAACTTCTGCTTCACTTAAAAGTATAATCCAATGTTGGTTTGCAAACCTTGGGGAGAGTTTCCATGTACGACTCTGGAACTTCCATTTCTGCTAGAGTAATGCTGTTGATAGCCATAGCAGCTTTTAGTATTTGATTTGTGCATTCCCGTGTGTGATGCAACTGCTTTCTTGAATTTTCACTGAGACCATCGGCTGCCACACGAGGTACAGGCAGCCACCACTTCTCCTCTTGCCGTTGGAGTGTTTTGCGGAAAGAGGATGAGCCATCTGCTTCTGGGGCTATAACTCCTTGATCGACATACCAGAACTCTGTATTGGTGAAACTATCTAATATGTCCTACATTAGAAAAGACAAAAAAAGGCTCCTTGAAATCATAATGACTTCCAAAAATGAAAACAGTACATTATGAAACAATCAAGGTTAGAACTCACAAGAAGCATATTGTCTAGCTTACGCAGTGCTGGCAGATTCATAAAAAGATCTGATCTGGGCCTGCAAGTCATGACCTACAGAATGCACCAACAGTAAGAAACAAGAAACATTAGATTGATTGTCACGTTTTTGCCACCGGTTTTCCATTTGAGATTTTGCACATTTGTTTACCAAGTCATAATGAAATGGGGATAAGAGAAAGTTTGGTAATTGAATTTGAAGACCAAGGCAGAATTATTCTCAGGGCTTAGTGATGTGAAACATCAAAGCTTCAAATTATTAATTTTAATTTTTCTGTCTTCCTGACAAGCAGGATAGATAAAGCAATATCTTTGATGTTTTATAATCACAATTCTGAGCAGAATTAAGACTGTAGGAAGGATTACCTCTAGCTTTTTTCCATCAGGAAATGTTTGCCAAGAGGGTATTAATTCGACAATATGATCACTAACACAAATTAGCCATTCCATCTCTCTTCTCCACATTGATTTCTTTTCAGCAGGCAAGGGTTCCAATCTCCACAGTTGCCCAAAAATGGAAGCTTCATGTCGTATAAAATTTGAATTAATTGAAAAACCAAAAAAAAAAATTGCAATATGAAGTAATTGAACCCTACTGTGCTATAAACCGATTCCAGGGACTGAGAGGATGAACATACCACAAAGATTGGTAATGGCATTTGAAATAGCCATCGCTGTGCAAACCCCTTTACCAGACCCTGACATGTCTTCCCCAAGCAACAATTTTGAAAATCTCTCTCTCATCATATCCATCTCTGTTTGAATTTTCAACAACGCAGAAGGATTACAAAAAGGAAAAATAAGCATAATAAGTCACATGGGATTCTAATAACCTTTTATTTGGTTGCTAGTAATATAAAGGAAAAAGTTATATACTTTTTGCATTTTTTTCTTTAAAGAAGTTGTATTAAGCTAAAGAAAAGAGGTGGGGTTGAAAACATAGTAAAGTTTCAAATTTTTGCTGTTTCAAAAAAAAAAAATTACAACTCTTGGCAACCAAGTGAAGCACAAATTGCAGAAAAATAAATCTAACCTGCAATTTTCGAAGCCAAATCCTTAAACTTCGAATCATCAGCATGGGCTTTTTGTTCTGCTTCACCCACATCTGCAGCAACCGAATTTTTGCACAGTTCAGCTTTTCTTATAGGCCAGCCCAACAGAGGCGGTGAAGAAGGCCCTTTTCTTTTCACTTCCTCAGTGGAAGTCTCGGAGCTCGATCTACTCGAACTGCTCTCCCTGGACTCACCACTCGAATCGGTGAGTGACTCACTTCCAGCCCCATTATCAGCCAAAGACTTGACGAACCCAGTTCTTTTTTTCTGTAAATTCTCCCTTTTCTTGACCAAAGCTTCCATCTTTTCAACTTCTGAAAATGCTTGAGCTGCGCAAGGAAAGCAAATAAATTGAGCCAGTGTGTAGCTAGCTCAGCTGCTTTAGTTATGAACTTGATCCTCCAAGTTGTTCCAGCATAGATTTAGACTTTTGAGCTGTACAATTGAAGCTTACAGAAGAATTGCGAGATGGGTTTTGAATTTTTTGGAGGATTTATTCAGGAACTGAAGTGGTCATGATTGCTAGCCACAGAGTAACAGTAACAGAGGTTGCAATGGAACCACTCAAGCTGCAAGGAGGGGATATGGGGTCTCTTTCTCTTTGTTATGCCTTTATTCTCCTCTCCTTTCTAAATTTGATTTGAGTTTGAAGTTCACAACTCATGAGGGTAACTGCCAATTGTCACATGCCATACCAACGTCTCTTTTCTTCCATCCTTCTCTCTCTTTGTCTTTCACTCTCTGAGGACAGAATACGTTCAAAAAATATTATTAAAATATAGGACCATGTAAATGACAGCGTACGGATTTGTGAATTTGAAATTACAAACTCACCCTCTGGCCTCCGCATGGTCTTTCTTTTTATATAGCTTTGTACTATTGAGATCATGTGCATTGTTTTCATAATTTTCTTATAAAAAATAAAATGGAAAAATGAAGATCATAACATGAAATTAAATGGAACAGGTGGGTTAGTTCAAGATTGAAATTTGATGATCTTAATTAAATGCCTGGTTTTGCATTTGTCCTTCCAAGTCCATCAAATCAACCAGTGGGGTTTAACAGTGAGGGAAGGAAGTCTGTTGCTTTAGAGCATCTCCTATCGATATGTTAAAAGTGCCACATAGACATTTAACGGTTAGAAATAACATCTCATATCACTCCAACCGAATTGTCAAAGCTGATGTGAAATGAAGGCTGGAGGTTCAGCTGTTATTTTTGACATTCCACAAGTAAGATGTCAAATGAATATTTTATTATCTTTTAAAAACAGATGGTTGTAATTGTCATTTTTTATTTTCCTTTTTTATTTTTTTCTTCTTTATCTTAAATGATTTGACTGTTACAAAAATTATTTATTTAACAGATCGAGTGGAGTATAAAACTGTGTAAATGTCAAATTGCCACATCAGCCATCAAATTTAAATTTGATGTTTGATATTTGACATCTCCCTTGAAGATGCTCTTAGCCTTAAAAAAACCAGACCTAACCTGGCCCAACAGGTATCTTTTAATCTCTGGTGTTTTTTTTCTTCATTTGCATAGTAGTATTGGTACCAAGTGACCAACCCACATAATCACATAGCAATGTTCAATTAATGGTGACCAGATTGATGATATAGGCCACCACCATGGACTGCCCAAAACGCAAATATAATTGCTATATTTGTATTATATTAATCAGTAAAGTTTATGAATTTCTTTTAATGGCTAGAAATCATAATGCTCATGGTTACTGCCTTTTATAAACAAATATTGTGTAATTAGGTGAGGGCAGAGTATTGAGCGAAGGCAGATGGAGGGTGGTTCGGTAATTTAGCATCATCGAAATTTGAATAGGTAGCCGTTTTAGGG